TTTCTGATGGGGCTCAAATCTGCACAGTGTTGGCTTGAGTCACAAAGAACTCTATCAAGCCCCCTGCCAGATTGTTAGAAGCTCTGGCTAGCTTGCAATGTCATGCGCTGGTAAAACATATTGCGCAAGACTTCCATCCGAACACCTTGTAATCTTCCGCTTGGAGTCGCAAAACATTTGAACTAAAAAATGTTAGTACTCTAAAAAGTTTGGGCCCTATATACAAAATCATACTTTATGATGGGGCTCAAATCCTCAGCTGTTGATCTGAGTCACAAAGAATTCTATTGAGCCCACGGCCAAATTGTTCGAAGCTTCAGCAAGCTTGTAATATCATGCGGTGGTGAAGCGTAGGGCGCAAGAGTTCCAGCCGAACAACATGTAATCTTCGGCTTTGAGCCGGAAAACATCTGAACTAAAGAAGATGGTTACTCTATAAAGTTTGGGCCCTATATACAAAATCATATTTTTTGCTTGGGCTCAAATCCTCAGCTGTTGATCTGAGTCACAAAGAACTCTATCAAGCCCCCTGCCAGATTGTTAGAAGCTCTGGCTAGCTTGCAATGTCATGCGCTGGTGAAACATATTGCGCAAGAGTTCCATCCGAACACCTTGTAATCTTCCGCTTGGAGTCGCAAAACATTTGAACTAAAAAATGTTAGTACTCTAAAAAGTTTGGGCCCTATATACAAAATCATACTTTATGATGGGGCTCAAATCCTCAGCTGTTGATCTGAGTCACAAAGAATTCTATTGAGCCCACGGCCAAATTGTTCGAAGCTTCAGCAAGCTTGTAATATCATGCGGTGGTGAAGCGTAGGGCGCAAGAGTTCCAGCCGAACAACATGTAATCTTCGGCTTTGAGCCGGAAAACATCTGAACTAAAGAAGATGGTTACTCTATAAAGTTTGGGCCCTATATACAAAATCATATTTTTTGCTTGGGCTCAAATCCTCAGCTGTTGATCTGAGTCACAAAGAACTCTATCAAGCCCCCTGCCAGATTGTTAGAAGCTCTGGCTAGCTTGCAATGTCATGCGCTGGTGAAACATATTGCGCAAGAGTTCCATCCGAACACCTTGTAATCTTCCGCTTGGAGTCGCAAAACATTTGAACTAAAAAATGTTAGTACTCTAAAAAGTTTGGGCCCTATATACAAAATCATGATTTTTGACCGGGCTCAAATCCTCAGCTGTTGATCTGAGTCACAAAGAATTCTATTGAGCCCACGGCCAGATTGTTCGAAGCTCCAGCAAGTTTGCAATGTCATGCGCTCTTGCAGCTTATTGCGCAAGAGTTCCATCCGGACAACATGTACTCTTCGGCTTTGAATCGTAAAACATCTGAGCCAAAGAAGATGGTTACTCTATAAAGTTTGGGCCCCATCGGAAAGTAGAATTTTTGGCGGGGCTCAAATATACAAACCGTTACAAATCCTGAGCTAGAGAGTTACAGAGGGACGGCCCTGGCAGGATTTGAGCCCGCGACCATCTGCTTCCGAGACTGCAGTCTCTTCAAAATGATTTCGAGTGAAAAATCACTGTGTTGGACTCAGACCTGCCCCTCCCCTTGCTGAAGCAAGAGTAACTCCAGCTAGCTACCGCTAGCTTTTGTGAAGATTGATCGACCCTCTCAAGAGAGTTGATGGGCAAAGGACCTTCTTGAACCACGGGGCTAAGGTTCAGACCGAGACCCACTGAAGCCAAAGGGGCCACAGTTGAGCTGCTCAAAGACACCTTTGTTGGAATGAGAAGACTGTGCAAAATTCCATCTATCCAGGTGTATGACAGTGAAGAAATGGTTGCTCCTGGGGGACATGCTGTTCAAAGTGTTTCAAAATGGCTCAAATCTCATTTGTATCCAGCGCATGATATGAACATTCTGAGGGGTCAGCATCCACAGATGGAACAGCACGGCAGAGAATGGCAGCACCTAAAAACAGGGCGATAGATTTCAACAATAATTCACAATTTGGTTTTAATATGTTTTAATGAAACATCTCTACGTGCATTTATCTGTTGCTTGAAATTTCCCGTGCCAACCGTTTCTGTTGTATCTGCAGCTTCAGAAGTAAATCTGTCTTGAAATAGTCCTGCGATCCAAGGTGTGCAGACAGTCTTTGACCTCTTTATGCTTAAACTAACGAACATGTCCCACATTGCCTGGTGCTGTGGCACGCACTGCTGAGACCTGGATGCTGTGAGCGGAGGGATCTGGATCAGGGAGCCCCTTGAAGTCGCAGAGTGCTTTGATTGGCTATGCCATTCATATCTGCTGATTCTGTCCTTTTGATGTTGGAACTTGTTAAGACCTGTTAAAACGCTGTGACGCACATTCGGGAAAGTGTCCCAACGCTTTCCAGTGCTGCCCCTTGTACTCAGCTGAGGGAGACTGTTTCTCAGGACTCCAATTTTGTCATTACTTGCCTGGTGACTGTCTAATGACTGTCGCTTAGTTAACCGCTCTCCATTTAATCACCGCGACCCAACCTGAGCCACTGATCGCACTGCCTGGCGAAGCAAAGCCATGACCTGCACATGGCCAAACGAGGAATCCAAACAGATTGTATCAAAGGAACAAGGTCAGAGTGTCCTACTTTCAGATGGTCAGACGGTCAGCGCACAACATACCACAAATACGTCCACTTGTGCTGGTTTCTGTGGACATTAAAACATATAAAACATGCCTAGAGGATCCTCAAGCTCAAGATTTCACGATTTTTGTGGGGTGGCGCTCAGATAACTTCACATCGATGAAGGAAGTCAAGTGCAGTTGGTCGAGTTTGTAGAGTACTATCCAAAGACGGTCCGAACAAAAGAAAAGCCACGACTCCGCTAGCGGCCTGCACAGGCAAGGAGATACTGAGATGGGCTGGACGCTATGTGGCTTGGCCTATTTCTGAGCCCAAAAATCCAAAGTTTCTTTGCTGGAGCTGATTTGAAAAGCCAAAGGCTCCCGATTCAGCTGTTTTTTGCTGTGACAATGCGTTCAGTGACTATCAAGCTCATTGCGGTTCATGCAAGAGATATACAAGAGGCATCTTTGCCAAAAACGAGAGCTGCAGGTTTAAAGCTACATCTTTTGTCCTGGCCAAGCCAGAGGTCACTATCTTCAGCATCCTGCCATTGTGCAACGTTTGGCAGCGTCACAGCAATACAGCAATGCGCAGAAGTTGCCATGCTAAATGTATCAAAGCTACGACGATACTCTGCCAGCATGAATCTTTTTGTGAAACAATCGGGCTGAACACGCATCTGATTGCACTCAAACACTGCATTGAAGGTGAACAGGCTGGCTAGGATGTATATTCAGCACCTCTGCTTCAAGAAAATGCAGGCTGGCCTCATCAGGAAGTTTCACCTGACCATTGTCGGTTTCAAAGGGCAACGGGTCTCTGCAGCATTTATATATGAGGATAGAAAATGTTTTAACTTCGCAAATAAGTTGAAGACACATATAGACTGCACCCGAAGGTAAGACAAAACATCGGTAGGGCTGTCATGCCACACCTCCAAGTGTGCTTCTTGCGCCACCTTCTTGAAATGCTGAAGGAGTCGACTACCCAAACCGCAGCCACGATGATCTCGCAGTCAAAAAGTGCTTCAACCAAGTGCTGTACTGATCGTTGGGCAAAAGCATAGTATGCTCATTCCAAGATCAAAGGAATTGAATGAATTGACGAAGATCATGTCTGACAGTTCAAGTCGTTTCAAATCGTGAACTGTGACTTTTGCTAAAGATAAGATCCTCAATTCCGCCAGCAGAACTTGGACAGCAGGGCCTGGGGCAACGGCCACAAGATGTACCACCATGGTCAGGCGTCCGCATACAAGTGGGCACGGGGGCCATGGCAGCGCTGAGACTATGCAACCGGCCCTGGAGGCAGTGTAACTTCAATCATCTTCAGTTCATTTCAACATTTCAATTTTCAAAGCTTGGAGCAAACTATTCTCCGAGGACGGAATCTCTTGCGATGATATCACGTTGGGGATCTGACTCTCCATTTCAATCTGAGATCCGCTCCCAAGTTCTCCCAAGGCCCTAGTCTATGCCCGCCTGTGATCCTGTTCAAGCGCCCATGCTTCATCCGGGGGCAGCTCCGACCTTGAAGGGCGTGTCGCATGATGTGACTGTCTTCAACTGAAACAAGGATTCAAGACACATCCTGACCTGCACCGGAGTAGATGACCAGTTAATATGTGCACTAACCGTAGAATCCCCTACGTGAGCTAATGCACACAGGGCACCTGAGTTGTTGCAACACTGCCAAGGTCGTTGGATGTTGGAAACCTCGGGGATGACTCTGCGCAAGTCTTGGATGTTGCAAATGGACTCTCCTTACCAAGCCAAGCTTACACACTGTCTAAGTTACAAACAAATTAAGGTGGAACCTTTAAGATTATCAGATAGGCAAGTTGGTTTTTAAGCCTATGAAACGTAGATGTATTCTCCGCAAACCCACTTAGCCATACTTAGCCTACTTATATACAAGTTACAATGCAATGTCAATCAATTGCTCACTGCTTCAAGAGCTGATTGGCCAATGAAATCATTCACTAATGAATTCGTAACTCATAGATAAACGTGTCGGACATTTCTGGACTACGTGTCACGATCCAGGGTTGCAAAGTACGTCAGAATGGCTGCTCCAAGGGTCTTCGTAGTCTTGGGAATGAATTTGTCTACAACGATCTGGGCTCCAAATCACACTGGAATGGCTGCGCCGGGTCTTGTCTAGGACCTTTCGAGTGTCTTCAACACGCGTTCTTGGACCCAATGTTGTAGTACACTAGCAGAGCATCATATCATGCAGAAATTTGCTTTTGGTGCTGTCTCATGCGCTTGAATCCGTCATGGTGTTTTTGTGTCACGCTCAACCGCTAGCAAGAAAGACTTCGATAACTCGGTCATGCACCCAACACACAACTCTCCAATCACTATTGAATAATGAATCAATAAATACATAAACTTAATAAACAAACAAATATATAAACAAAAAAACGATCGACCAATCAACCATAAATCAATCAATCCATCAACCAATGCAAGATTATCTTGATTAACTGCTCAAACCACCACTCCACCAGACAGCCAATCACTCACTCACTTGCACCTGCGCACATACGCAGGCAAACCCTCACTCGCTCACTCGGTCGCTCGCTCACTCACTGAGACTTCTGTCGCAGGTGCTTCAGGTGCTTCCAGAATCCAGGTGTCAGGTTTTGCTTGCATCTTTGAGATTCCAGATTTGACATCGTTCGAAACTGCAACATGATTCCTTGTGCTCGAAGAATCGTTGAGTTTTTAAGCTTCCACACCCAAGGAGCGTTGGAGACCTGCAAGTGTTTGGCGCCAAACGCGGTGTGCCTGTCAGGAAAGTCAAGCAGGGCGCAAACGAAATTAAAGGCTCTCGAGAAGTCAACAATGACTTGGGGTGAAACCAGACAACCGAGACGCATCCAGGCGCTGTGTTTAGATAATTTAGACAGTCTAAATTTGACGTTTCCAAGTCTCCGACTGCCTTTTTTTCGAAGCTGTTCTCTCTCTCTCTCTCTCTCTGATTTCTTGTTCTCTTGCCTCCGCATTGCGCCCGAGCTCAGCTTGAAGGGCACCAAAGTCTCTCAATGCTTCCAACGATTCAAAGTGCTCAAAGCCCAGCATTCGCTGCTTGCCCTGAAAGGAGGAAGTTTTGGCACAAGGAAACATCCTGTTTGATTGCAGTTTTCTCCTGTTTGTTCTTCTCATGGGAAGACTCAGTGAATGAGGGCCTGCAAGTCCGATTTTAAAACATATACATAGAATTACATATCATATGTAAGAGTCGATACACAAATTATATAATTATCATATATAGTAGAGTGTAAATTGTATGGTGTGGGATGGTGTGGGTTTTCATGCTTCCAGACGTAGCTAGGCTGATGAGAGCTAAGAGGCCAAGCATCCTCTAGGATGATGGGTCAAAAAAAGAATCAGCGCCGAAGGTTCCTACCAGTACTATAGCGTTTCCTGGCCGGAGCCTTTCGTGTTAATCTTGTGATTTTGCACGTCGTTTGAAGCGGCAAGACAAGGCCCGATAGAGAGCCCAACGGCGCGACAAACTCTGTTGCCAATTGTTGCCAAGCATATGCTCGACATCGGATAGGCAAAACCTTTTGTAAGCATCTGAGGCCTGTCTGCGTAACTAAATGTTTGTTTGACAACATGTTTAACCTAACTTGCCTCTCAAGTGGCTCAACATGTATTGACGTCAATAAAGTCAATAGAGGATTAATATCCCGCACGCTCAATACGAAACGCCAGACCTGGGTAATTGAAGTCTGTATGTCTAAAACACATTCATGAAGGAACGATTAAAAACGGTCTCTTGGGTCCGCGGAGCAACAAAGATTGCACACATGGAGACTCTCGCTCACTTGCTGCTGGTATCCACCAGTTTGGCAAGCACGTCGCACACTGGCGCACCCACTGATGCTTCCATGTCGTTGCGGACGGACACGTTTCACCCTGCACTTTTTGCTTGTTCACAGACATTGTCTCTCTGACTTGGGCAGCTACGCCGCATCTCTGTCAGCAGTGGAATTGCCAGGAAGAGGCTAGCGCTACCTGACTTCTGCTCCTACCACTGCCTCGTGACGTCTGCAAGGTCAGGGGCATTCCCTGGGTCCACAATATGCATGGTTCAGTGGTTTCACACCTTTTGGCCATGGATGTGCTATGACCTGTGCACCTATAGCGAATTCCTGCATCAATGGTGACCTCTATAGACTGCCACACCTTTTCAAGACCCTCCAGCGGACAACCTAGGCTTAACATAGTCCCTGCATCCAATGCTCCAATGGGGTCTTCGTTGCGTAGAGATGCGAATGAATATACACTGTGCAAAATCAATGAAAAGTACGCAAGAAGAATAGAAACAGTTCAGCAGTGTGAAACAAATCAGAACTGCATTACATAGAAAAACGGAAAATGTCGACGCCTGCACTGCCTCCTGCGCAAGAAGAACTGCAGCTTGCAAGGCTGCCAGGCATGAAGACTTTGATTGGCCGGTTGACTTGGCACGGCTTGCCAAAGCCAGGCTAAGATTCCTGGGCTGTGCAGTGGCCATGTGTTCGAGGCTAAAACCGAGATCTTGCGTAGAGGTTTGGATTTCTAGACTGAGATCCAAGGAGGGCAATTTTCCTTCCCACATCGATTTCCCAGAACTGTTGAAATGCCCCGGGCCCTTGATGCGAAACTAGAATGCCAGCAATGATCGATGATATACTTCATCACGCAATCTTGCACAACATAAGTGGACAAGCTGTTTGTTGCCGTGGCATGTGCAACTGGTTCACGTTTGTCATGAAGGTCACCCTTGTTTGAGCTGGGGACCATTCAACCATCGATCTCCGTCAAGGAAGCATGGCATTTGGGCACAGTGGCACAGTTGGGCAAGGGAGCTACAGGTAGGGATGCAGGTACGATTGCAAAAGCAACAAGGACAGCTCTGAGTTCTGAATCAAACGACTGGAAACCCGTCGAAAATCGTTCAAATTTCGATTTTCTCCGAGGATCTGCATGATGGTGAGAGCAAGGGGATGTCTCGGGCCCATTACCCGCTGCAACGCTTGCCATGTGGCACGGAGTTCTGCCTCAGCTTCTGCAGGCCTGGAGCATTGAAGCAGCAGAGGGCCAAACATGATGCGAAAAAATGCGAACATGCAGTGTGGAAACATGAATCAGATACAGGACACACAACTTTCCTGTGGAATGCAATTTCACTGTCACGCCTGCCGGCATTGCGTAGGGCGAGGCCCAAGTTGCAACGGGTTTTCAGGGTATCAACATGTTCACAGCCAAGAACTCTCTGACGGGCTTCAAAAGTGACCTGTCACGGCAAGAACAGGTCTGGTTACGCCCAAAAAGTCAGAGCAAGCAACGAAAATATGGAAACAGCATCTGTCTGCAATAGTATCTCACACAGGGGTTCTGAACCCCCAGACAGTGCTGTGACTCTTAATCTTAGGAACAGCGTTGGTTGCTGTCTGCAAAGAAAACGAGCGTGACTCAAACTTGGCGTTGCTGCTATCGAATTCCTCTGTACGTATTTACACTAAAGAAGGAGGTATAGTGTGCGCATTGCGGAGTATTACTGTGTTTCTTTCAGCCGTATTTTGTTGGATTTACGTTGCGCTACATCTCTATCGCAACGCTTCATTTCATGACTTTAGAAAAACGCACTCTTACACGCACACACTTATGCGAGTGTATATTACATGCATACATTAACTTGTACATGCAAGTACAAGATACGCATACGTACACATGTACACATGTAGAAATATACAAGCCTATATACACACATATACATGTACAAAAATGCATGCATATACGTATATTGTAATTATATATATAACTAATTATAACTAAATATAAATATATATCCAAGATCTAGGATCTATAGCTGCGTACACATACACATACATTATATATATATTATATATATATATACATCTCAAAGTGACAACATGATTCCTCGTACTACTCTCGCCGCACTCACATCTTTTTACCACCTTCTGCAGACTTCAACTTGTTGATGTAGCTTTATTGGAAACCGACCAACGAAGAGAACAACTGATGAATCCTGTTCATGTCAGGGGTCGAGGCTGCGTCGCCTGGTCACCCTTCGGTTTGGGTTTTATGTTCCCACCTTGTTGGGGGTTCAGGTGCCTATGTGATTTTTGGGCGCTTGCTTTACATGTTGGTTTTCATTCCTGTTCTGGTGCCATCGATTGTGAGGATTGCTCTAAGTTTGTTTGGTTTTAGTCTTTGGTACCTTGATCTGTGCCACTGAATTTGTTGCATTAAGGGTCATGTGAAATCTATGACACGGCAGCCGCAGAGCATCTGCTCCCAGCTGTGTGTGAGCGTGTTTGGCCACACTTGTGTGTGTGTGGCCCACACTGCGGTCTTGGTGCCGAAGCATGTTGCCTTTCCGAGCGGGACGCGCGTTGCGCACGGACTCTGCTACCAATAAAGTGATTCTTGGTATTCCAAGAGATCCGCTTGATGTCTTAACCGAAGCTTGCAAATTAGTTCACCCTGTAGAGCGTTCTGACGTTATCAACCTTGCTGTCGCCGTCGCAATTCAGAAACCTTGTGAGCTATCGCCGCTTGAGTTGTTGAAGTGTCGGAAGAGCTTTTTCAGTCGAACATTATCCATCATTTGTTGGTTAAACGAGCAAGAAGCAAGCTTGCACGCGAACACGCCACCACACCTAGGCAAAGTGATGAAAGGAAAGCGGATCTTGTTGCTTGACGCATTGTTGCGTGAAAGTGGCCATCCAGATAAGTTACTCTGCGCACACTTGGAAAAAGGGTTCCCCTTGTTTGGCAGGCTGCAAACATCAAGCATTTTTGCTGAGCAGTGGTGCCCCCCAGCATTGCACCCAGATGAACTGCTCCGTGTTGCCCCGAAGCAAAACCAGTGGATTCTAGGCTCTTGCAAGCGTTCTAGACACGCATACATCGATGCAGCCGTTTGGGATGCCACTCTGATGGACGTTGAAAAAGGCTGGGCTATCGGACCGTTCTCCCTGGAAGAAGCTCAGTCCATGACAGACAAGCCTGTGGTGATTTCGCGTCGTTTTGGTGCACAGCAGAAGAACAGAGTTCGTGCCATTGATGATCTGTCTGCTAGCCAAATCAACGCATGCACAGGTGTAAAGGAGAAGGTCCGTGTTGAGTCCGTAGATGCAGCAGCAACTATGATTCAAGAGTGGATGAGAGCTTTCCACGGCAGCGGAAGAACTTTAGTTGGAAAGACCTATGATTTAAAATCGGCATGCCGACAACTTGGAATTTGCTCGGAGCATTTGCACGCTGCGTGGATTTGCGTCTCATCTCCTTACATGACTGAGCCTGCTTTGTTTCAGCTGCATGCGATGCCTTTCAGGGCTACAGCCGCCGTCACTAATTTTTTGCGTTGTGCTGAAGCCTTGAAAGCTTGCAGCGCCACCTTGCTGCATTTCGCTTGGACATCCTTTTTCAATGATTTCATCATCATTGCCCCAGAAGATTGCGCCGAGGAACAGACCGGGCCGCGCGGCTTTTCTTTCAGCTTTTAGGTTAGAAATTAGCCCTTGAGGATGCCAAGAACAAACCGTTCAGCCGCGTTTTCAGTGCTTTGGGGGTGGTGTTCGACCTTAGCCGAGCCAGTGACGGCATCCTAGAGATTTCAAATATGCCCTCCAGGAAAAAGAAGTTGTCTGCTACCATTGCTGGAGTCATCGCCTCCAAGCGCCTTTCTGCCAAAGCCGCATCCTCTCTGCGGTCGCGTTTGAATTTTGCACATGCCCACATTTTCGGCCGTTTTGCTAAGAAGACATTGCACCTGCTTGGGACGCATGCGGATTCATCTACTTCGGAGGTTGTATCGGGGGAACTGATTACTGCTTTAGCATGGTTGCATGATCATATGCTACATGGCCGCCCCACAAGAATCAGCATTGCCAAAAAGAAAGCTTACTTGCACTGGTATGTTCCATGGTGTCCTGGTTGGTAAAGAGCCGGGGCCCATTGCTTGCTTTGGAGAAGAAGCACCTGCCAAGGTTAAAATGTGGAAACAGAAGGGTGCCAAACAGTTGATCTTTGAAGCAGAAATCTTGCCTTACGTCGTTGCATTACGCGCGTGGGCTGATTTGCTGCGCGATGCCTTAATCTTAGTCTTCATCGATAATGATGCTGCCAGGCACAGTTGGGTGACTGCTGGTGCTCAATCGCAGCATGCTATGGACATGGTCAATCTGGCTTTGGCATTTGAAGCTGAGCTCGATGCAGCGGCCTACTTTTGTCGTGTGCCTTCTCATTCAAACATAAGCGATGGGCCTTCAAGATTCTGATTTGAGCTCTGTGAAAGCATAGGGGCCAAGCGAGTGAAAGTTGATTGCAGCGACATCCTCGTCTGTGCCAGGGTTGTTGGTTGATGTATTGGGGGTTTGGATTGGTCCCCTGCACTGAATGTCAGCTCTGGTGCAGCTGTCGATGTTGCTGCAAAGCAGCTACACATTTCGTTGCCCCGATCTATCAGCTCTTGGCTGCAAAAAGAAAGGACTGCACGAAAGGGAGCCCAGAGATCAGTTGGACTAGTTTGTCAAACTGTGTTGTTGTAGCTGTTCTTTAGGTTTACTGCCGGGTTGCAATCTTTGATTTTAATGTCCTTCCTTCTCTGCTAGCATTTGTTGATCGGTTGTCGCACTTTGAACTTTGAACTAACTGTGATCAGCGTCTGGGGGTGGAGTGTGAATTTTGCTGTTGATGCCTTTTATTTGTTCTTGCAGTTGAGGTGCTAGTTTTCTGTTTAGAGGTTTCTGACTGGTGTTTTCTTGGAGTTTTTGTTGTCTCTTCTTTGTAGTGTTAGTTTGCCGCCTGGGGCTCTTCTACAGGACGTGAACAATAAGCAGACTTCAACTTGTTGATGTAGCTTTATTGGAAACCAACCAACGAAGAGAACAACTGATGAATCCTGTTCATGTCAGGGGTCGAGGTTGTGTCGCCTGGTCACCCTTCGGCTTGGGTTTTATGCTCCCACCTTGCTTAGGGTTCAGGTGCCTATGTGATTTTTGGGCGCTTGCTTTACATGTTGGTTTCCATTCCTGCTCTGGTGCCATCGATTGTGAGGATTGCTCTAAGTTTGTTTGGTTTTAGTCTTTGGTACCTTGATCTGTGCCACTGAATTTGTTGCATTAAGGGTCATGTGAAATCTATGAGACCGCAGCCGCAATGCATCTGCTCCCAACTGTGTGTGAGCATGTTTGGCCACACTTGTGTGTGTGGCCCACACTGCAAAGCAGCTACATATTTCGTTGCCCGCATTGCGCGAAAGGGAGCCCAGAGATCAGTTGGACTAGTTCGTCAAACTGTGTTGGTGTTGTTGTTGTTGTTGTTGTTGTTGTTGCTGTTGTTGCTGTTGTTGGTGTTGGTGTTGGTGTTGGTGTTGGTGTTGGTGTTGGTGTTGGTGTTGGTGTTGGTGTTGGTGTTGTTGGTGGTGTTGTTGGTGGTGTTGTTGTTGGTGTTGTTGTTTTTGTTGTTGTTGTTGTTGGTGTTGGTGTTGGTGTTGGTGTTGGTTTGGTGTTGGTGGTGTTGGTGTTGGTGTTGGTGTTGGTGTTGGTGGTGGTGGTGGTGTTGGTGTTGTTGTTGTTGTTGTTTAGATTTACTGCCGGATTGCAATCTTTGATTTTAACGTCCTTCCTTCTCTGGTAGCATTTGTTGATCGGTTGTCGCAGTTTGAACTTTGAACTAACTGTGATCAGCGTCTGGGGGTGGAGTGTGAATTTTGCTGTTGATGCCTTTTATTTGTTCTTGCAGTTGAGGTGCCAGTTTATTGTTTAGAGGTTTCTGACTGGTGTTTTCTTGGAGTTTTTGTTCTCTCTTCTTTGTAGTGTTAGTTTGCCGCCAGGCGCTCTTCTACAGGACGTGAACAATAAGCCTTCAGTCTGTCTGGTTCACCTGCTATCCTCAGGTTTGCTTTGGATCGGTCACTGTGTGACATGCGCGTAGCCCCAGACCAATTTCAACGCCTGGTCAGAGCTGCCTGGCCACCCCAGGCTCGAACCTGCTTTTACAGGTATCACCCGTCGCCTAGTAAAAGGAAAGGTGAAGAATTTCCTGGTCATTATCCCCTGAAAGAGGCTATGCGCTCGCCTGCCCAGCAGGCGCCCTCTCCTAGGCGGAGAGGCCGGCTCTTAGGGTTGGGCGGGCGGGAAAGAAAAGCAATGAATGCTATTTTGGTTCAACTCCAACTTGCGCCAAAATGATAGCATTCATTGGCTCACTTAAAGATGATACGTGCGCACCCAAAGCCTGCCAAGCTCGATGCATGAATACATCTCAAAGTGACAACATGATTCCTCGTACTACACTCGCCGCACTCACATCTTTTTACCACCTTCTGCCTTCAGTCTGTCTGGTTCACCTGCTATCCTCAGGTTTGCTTTCGATCGCTCACTGTGTGACATGCGCATGGCCCCAGACCAGTTTCAACGCCTGGTCAGAGCTGCCTGGTCACCCCAGGCTGGAACCTGCTGTTACAGATAGCACCCAACGCACTACTACACCCAAAGCACTAGAGGAATTCAAAGTTGAGGATGACTGCAATGAAGGGCAAATGGAAAAAGATTGTGGGGTGGTACGGTGAATGAAAGCCAAAGCCATGGCAGCGCCTCCACGGATCATCAAAACCTAATCTACTGATATCATCGGCCCAATTGCTCTTTCTCTGAACGTATTCCCAGTAGCCGTGGGAACGCAATGCGAAGAGGGCAAGATGGATTAGGTGACCTAGCTTTGCTAGGCCGGAATTGCTAGAGCGCCCTCTCACTAAGGTCATCACAGCATTCACATTGTCCAGGAACCAGAGGCCTTGCCGATTTCGAAAAAGGTCAGGCCGTTCGGTCAAGGCATATGTGGGTCTCTGCTGGTTGCCAAAGGGTTTGAAGCTCTGCGCAATTAGTTGCAACAAAACTGAGATGAGTTTGAGACCCATCTGGCTGGAAAAAGATGAGGCGGAAACCACCAGATCCGGGGTTGTCAGCTTCGACAGCAGCATCTGATGCTGCCAAAACCCGATGTTGCTCTGCATGACTTGTTTCTTGTCAGCAGCAAAGGGGGATCCAATCAAAGTGCATAGTTGGTTGACGGTCATTGACCGGATCCTGTGGAGGACTTGAGGTCTGTGATTGTGGCATCATCGAAGCAGAGGGTCTGCACAGCCTCCTGGAGAATGCTTCCGCCAAGCTGGAAAATCTGTTGAGAGAAGTCACCGCCCAACTGTCCAAGCGCCACCCGCTGCACAGCGGAGGGGTAGGCCGTACATCTCTCGAGGCACGAGGTCAGGTGCAGTGGTCTGGCTGCTGTAGGCCGCAAGAAGGAGAAGGCCCAGCTTCTCTTGATGCTTGTAGTAAAAATCCCAAGCGTCCCCCGGCTGCACATCAGGGATGATGACACCACGCCTGCTCTACAGCCCCAACCAGGGAAACTTGAACCCTCCAAGGTGTGCTGCGCAACGCTGACAGTCTCCCGTGCAGCAAGGCATCTTGACCAAAGGAGGGAACAATTCAGACTTACTGGTTCAGCACGTGTATGCCGCCAAGTCAAGGCCCTCCTGTGCCAGCCTCTCCACATGCTGCTTGAACTCCAGGAAAGCCGCTGCGTGGAGGATGTTGGCCTCAGTCGCAGCAGGGATATCAGTCCCAGGTAGCTTACGCAGCATGCGAGGCCACCCCTCGCTACACACCAAGTCACCCCTGATCAAGGTCTAGAAAGGTCACGCCTTTGCAGACCTAGAAAATAAAGCAATGAATGCTATTTTGGTTCAACTCCAACTTGAGCCAAAAATGATAGCATTCATTGGCTCACTTAAAGATGATACATGCACACCCAAAGCCTGCCAAGCTCGATGCATGAACATATATATATACTGTATTCTACATATATGTAATATGTGACTCAATACATATGGACAAGATTCACAAGATTGACACGCGCATTCGGAAGCTTCTGTTTGACATATGGCAGATGTAATTGCCATTCTCGAATTTCCATTTCTTTTCTGCCATTGGGACTGGGTCCTGTCAGTGCAGCACTGCGCCGGCAGCCTCGTAGAGGGTGCGCCCCTGGAAGTGAACAAAAGGAACTGCAACTGAAAAATGTTTTTATAAAAAATCACAATCTGACATTGAGTGAATCTATTCAAGTAAGTCTACTGAATCCTACAAGAAATATCCTTCCTCGAACAAGAAATCAGTTGGACTCCAGTCCACGCCACTCGATGCAACTTAATGTTCCTCCTCCCTGTCGCCAGCAGCATTTGCAGCCATGGCTTCATTGTGTGCCGCCTTCAGTACCTCAGGCCGGAAGATAAAGAATGCATCAAAAGTACCAGGAGAATCCGGTAGAAGTAGAAAGAAGATGAAAGCAGTACCTTCAGGTCAGCAGAAAGCAGAAAGGAGCACTGTTTTTTCGCTGCTGAGGGAATGCATCAAATGGCTGGCAGCATGATTGTCGAGCATCGCAGAGAAAGGAGTAAGAAAGCATGTGGTGGCGAACTTGCACGAAGATGGACGAATTTCAAAAGAAACAAAAGAAGCAAAAACTGTCGGAAAATTGCGACAGTTATACTGCTCTGCGCACCAAAGGATGTTCGGCTCCATACAGCAAAGCCAGCCCACGCCGAGCCTCAGGACTCTCAGGATCCTTCAATCCAAGGTTTTCAAAACCACCATCCTACTCGGATCTAGTAGGTATGACACAGTAATAATTAAATTCAAGCACTATGCCTCGTGTTCAGAAATTGCAGTGTCAACACGCTCACTTCAAACCATTTGCGACTCAGCAAGGGTCAGTCTCCCTCACAGCCAGGCATCATTTTATGGATCTTCCAAAAGCAACCCTCAAAACATCAACACCCTAAGCCAAGCTAGACTCAAGTCACTGCCGCTGGATCTCAGAAACAAACCGAAAGCATCATGCGCACAAGTATACATGTGTATGTATGTATGTATGTAGGTAGGTATGTATGTATGTATGTATGTATGCATCTATTTATGTATGTATGTATGTAGGTATGTATGTATGTATGTAGGTATGTATGTATGTATGCATCTATTTATGTATGTATGTATGTATGTAGGTATGTATGGATGTATGTATGTATCTATTTATGTATGTAGGTATGTATGTATGTATGTATACATGTGTATACATGTGTATGTATGTATGTATGTATGTATGTATACATGTGTATGTATGTATGTATGTATGTATGTATACATGTGTATGTATGTATGTATGTATGTATGTATGTATGTATACATGTGTATGTATGTATGTATGTATGTATACATGTGTATGTATGTATGTATACATGTGTATGTATGTATGTATGTATACATGTGTATGTATGTATGTATGTATGTATGTATACATGTGTATGTATGTATGTATGTATACATGTGTATGTATGTATGTATACATGTGTATGTATGTATGTATGTATGTATACATGTGTATGTATGTATGTATACATGTGTATGTATGTATGTATGTATGTATGTATACATGTGTATGTATACATGTGTATGTATGTATGTATGTATGTATACATGTGTATGTATGTATGTATGTGTATGTATGTATGTATGTATGTATACATGTGTATGTATGTATGTATGTATGTATGTATACATGTGTATGTATGTATGTATGTATACATGTGTATGTATGTATGTATGTATATGTATGTATGTATGTATACATGTGTATGTATGTATGTATGTATGTATATGTATGTATGTATGTATGTATACATGTGTATGTATGTATGCATGTATGTATACATGTGTATGTATGTATGTATGTATGTATGTATACATGTGTATGTATGTATGTATGTATGTATGTATACATGTATACATGTGTATGTATGTATGTATGTATGTATGTATACATGTGTATGTATGTATGTATGTATGTATACATGTGTATGTATGTATGTATGTATACATGTGTATGTATACATGTGTATGTATGTATGTATGTATACATGTGTATGTATGTATGTATGTATACATGTGTATGTATGATGTATGTATGTATGTATGTATGTATGTATACATGTGTATGTATGTATGTATGTAGGTAGGTAGGTAGGTAGGTAGGTATGTAGGTATGTAGGTAGGTAGGTAGGTATGTAGGTATGTAGGTATGTAGGTATGTAGGTATGTAGGTATGTATGTAGGTATGTAGGTATGTAGGTATGTAGGTATGTAGGTATGTAGGTATGTATGTATGTATGTATGCATCTATTTATGTATGTAGGTATGTATGTAGGTATGTAGGTATGTAGGTATGTAGGTATGTATGTATGTATGTATGCATCTATTTATGTATGTATGTATGCATCTATTTATGTATGTAGGTATGTAGGTATGTAGGTATGTAGGTATGTAGGTATGTAGGTATGTAGGTATGTAGGTATGTATGTATGTATGTATGCATCTATTTATGTATGTAGGTATGTATGTATGTATGTATGTATGCATCTATTTATGTATGTAGGTATGTAGGTATGTAGGTAGGTAGGTAGGTATGTATGTATGTATATATATATACATCATATGTATATGCTGCCTCCACATCAGTCACCAGGCATAGCTTGCGTTGAAGAATGAAACAAATGTTGCACGTCCTGATGATCGTGAAGCTAAATGCACAGAATTTATGCAAAGGCGTGTGTCTTGGTGGCTGATACTTTTCATGTCCATACGGCTCCCCTTCAAACCAACATACTCAAACCAAGGTTAGCCCCAAAATTAGCGCCAAAATTAGCCCCAAGATTAGCCCCAAGAGTTCTGTGCAATCTTGGTTCTTGGCTTCTTGCTTTCGGATTGTCAGTTTACTCTGCGTGCCTCCAACTGCCTCCAACTAAGACACGAAGCTTACATGCATAAATCTATGTGTGTTGTATGGCACCCCTTTCCCGCGTATACCTCATACCATTGACTTTCTCAGGGAGGTACATGTATCTGCATGTATATACACATTACTTTGTGCGTATAATATATATATATACATATTACATGTAAATGTGCATGTGTGTGCTGAATGTGTATGTGTACACAATATGCGTGTATATATATATACATAATATAATATAATGCTTTCTATGGCCAGTACGTCGGGTGAATGCTTTTGAAAGCTTCTCACCGGCAGATCCTTCGTGTACACAAAGGTAATTACATTCTGAGCTGGCGGGCTGTCCGCAGCTGTTCGCGTGCCTCTTTGGGCTGCCCCAAAGCCACGAGCACCAAGCTCAGGTTGTGCCTCATCCAAAGTGTTGAAATATAGCAAACATAGCAAGCACACAGAACTGGCAGAAGTTCAAGCTAGAAAAATACAACTAAACGTGACAGAGATTTCACAAAGAAATGACAAGGCGGCCAACTCCTCCTTCATTTCCCCTTCACGTTGAAGACGTTAAAGTGTCGCAGCTAAGCACCCGCACTGTGCAGAATAAAGCTGCCCCTGGCAAGGTACAACTGCCAATTGGGTACGAGTTGAATGGCTCCAATCAGTGAATGAACGTTGGTCAAGTTGCCTTTGGAACAATGATTTTGTGTGTGTGTGTGTATCCGTGTATTAGCCATTGTAGACAAAGCAGGCTTCCAATTGGAAGCAAACAAATCAGATGTGTCGCAGGCCCTAGCAGTGTGTCACTGTTGTGTCACTCAAAATCATTGAACTAATTGTCACACAGCAAAAGCCTCCCACCTTGGCATCACAGTGCTGTCTGAGGCCTGCAAAAAATCAGTCTGCACTCAGCTGCACTCAGCTGCACTCAGCTGCACTCAGCTGCACTCAGCTGCAATCTGCAGTCCATCTAGTCGTGATTCTCATCAGGTGATTGAGATCGTTTGAATGTGCCAGCGCCTTCAATGGTCTCCTGGAACAATGCGGCGGCTTCATGCAATATGCCCTGTTGCCATAGACCCGTTGCCGTGGTGACCTATCTGAAACAAAGTGACAAAGCATAGCTGCATAGTTGTTGCATCACTGCATTGCGGCAGCTGCCCAAGTGGACTCGCATCGGATTCCAAGGTATTCCAATATGTCCTTCTCAAAATCGTACAATATCTTCTCAGCCTGTTGCTTCAGCAGCTCAAGATCTTGGACGTCTTGAGACTCCTCCTGTGACGGGTGCATTGGCAGATATATGTGCGCAAATCATTTTGCTACTTCACGTCCAGAAATTTCTATTGTAGCTGTAGCTGAATTCCTTTTTACACCGTGTACCTCTTAAGTCTTCAAGTGCGTTACAATCTAGTAACACATGATGCAGACGCAAAAGATCCGGCAAAGAAGGGGAAAAAATCCTCAGTAAAACTGATCGACTATTGCAATTTGCAGATGTAGCGTCCAACCTGTGATCTCTTGTGACATCGCGTCAGCTTCTTGACTGGCACGCCTTCCGCTTTGCCAAGTGTTGAGTCATGCGTTCTGTCAGCAGTTGTTGTGCTCGCCCGCTGAAAGCTTGGAGGCAAAGCCCACAGCGGTGGGCCTGGGTGAGGCTGTCTGATGAACTTTGGACTGTTCCAGGGAGTCCAAAGTCTGGACCAAGCACCAGGGTGGGAAAATGCAAAACATGCGGGATCGTATGACAACAACCTAGAAGCAAAACAGGTTGAAACACAAGGCTCACAAATCCTCTTAAACGAATTGAACCTTCCTGAGACCTGGGCAAACATTCATAGAAATCATAGAAATGTCTGTGTAATGCCTTAATCTTCCACCATTCTTTTCACATCGAGTCCTACTTTGGCACTGATTCAAAAATGATATAAAATGATCAATATGAAAAATTGCCTTCTAAACAGTGAAGATCTCGGATTGCTTTGGCTTCTCCCGCCTTCTCTGGTTGCGTTTCAAATTGCAGTAGTAAACACTCCTCACAAATAAACCGAACGCTGCCGCGGCAGGCACAGCAATCTAGGAGTTCCCGTTGTTCGCCTGCGCGAAGCAAGAAGCACCCGCGAAGAGGCGTTCCAGAAATTCCAAAAGATTCTAAAAGATTCTATTCTTTTTCAACTTGTTTGAATGCATGTGAGGCGTGGACCTTCTAAGCAAATCCGGCAGGCATGGCGTTCTTTAGGAACATGGCCCACATCGCTCGACGGAATAGGATCCGCAGTGCTCGCTGGCGCACAAGGCTCCTGAACAAGCGAACTTTGCATGGGAGCTTTCACTTTGTTGAACACAGCTCCTTGGGAGCCGTTGACAGCCTTGACAGTCTCAAACCTGCTTTGGGATTAAACGTTAATAGTTGACAAAATGGTTGGACAGGAGGTAAAAAAAATCAGGATTGCTGTGCTGGTAATACTGCAAAGGCCGGGCCTCCTAGTCAATCATGTCCACGCAACAAGGCCTTGTTTACACCAAGTCTCCTCGTGATGTAACAAAGCTTCAGCG